TGTGAGTTTGAGGCCAACCTGGACTACTGAGTAAGACCCTGTCTCAAAAAAAACTTTAGCGAGATACTGGGTTTGTGATTTTTCTCAGTGCCCTTAAATGTCAGAGATACACATCAAAAATTTGTAGACAAAATACTGTGGTACCTGTAATCATCTTCCAAATAACTCAAAAAGAGGAAGTAGGTAGATGAAGCACAATGGGCCATGGTTGGATTACTGTTAAGGTGCATGATGGTCACACAGGAATCAAATTCAGTAAATATTCAAAACTGCCCTGAACTTTCTCCCCAGGCTGGACAGAGAATTGCTGACAAGACATTTGGCAATGTTGGGAAAGCTTCCAAGGAAATGACACCCATAGAAGTGAGTCCTTAGCCAGCCAGGGAGCATGCACAAACAAATTATTTTGAGCACCACCTTACGTCAGCAATCAATGCCAGAGTATTTGTTTTCATCAAGAGCCAGCTGTTATCACTAGAGTTCATTTTCTTTCCACGGAATGTGTGAAAGTGGGCTGAGCGGAACAGGGACTTGAATGTTAGATTAGGCAACCAGGAGACTAGGGTGAGAATGCTGACTGCCATTTACCAGTGTCATATCTGGAGATAGTTTCAAATTTTCTATATCAATACTTTATCTCCTATAAAAAAGGAAGTCAATGTTCACCCATACAAAAACATTCTTTCTGGTCAAGTCTTCTATTCTGTGTGAGCTTCCACAGAAACAAAATTATAATAATTGTGAGGTCACGTGTAGAAAATCACTGGCTTCAGGTCACTGGAACATGACTGTCAGGACCAGAAAAACCTTCAGTGTTGGCATCTTTGTTGCAGAACACCCTGAGAATTTCTCCTGTGCATAGAGATGCCCCCACCCCTCTTAGACGGACTGCTTTCTGCCCCACATGGGAAGTACACCAGTACTTGACTCTCATACATTGGATTTTAGAGCAGTACCTAAGATCTTGGTGTCCTGAGAGAATTTATTTATCATTTGGCAATTTCCTTGTTAAAAGTTACTCTCTGCTTGAAGATCTTGCTTTCTTCTCTTGAGTCATTAGTCAAACAGTGAGAAGTCTGCCTCTTGGTGTCTCTGATGAGGTTAAAATAATTCTGAGTAGACATCACCTGGGTCCATCATGTTTCATGCAATAAAGTGTCCAAGCATGCCCTTGTCCCCCTACCTTTTGCACAGTAGTAGAGACTCAGTGACAACCATCCTGTCCATCGTGGAGGGTTCCACATGAATGCTGAGGCCCAGAACTGCCTATGACTTGGAGATTCCACAGCCATCTTGGCAGAAATGGAAAGACTCTTCTGGGAAAACTGTGGCATTTAAGAGGAAAACAAGGGTGACCGAGACTTGCCCGGTCTCTCACTCCATGTGCCCTACAATATCTGCCTATGTGACAGAGAAGAGGGTTGGACTGGTGCAGAAAAAGAAGGCAGCCCAAGTGTGCCAATGACAGACAACTGACAGTTGGGGACCCTACTGCTGCCCACTTGCTATGGTTTGAATATTTGGAAACATAATCCCCCAAATCAGATGCACCTTGATATTGAACTTTTTAGTCGCTAGGACCATGAGCTAAGCAAACTTCTCTTCCTCATAATTTCCCACTCTGTGGTGTTTAGCTATTCCACAGCACAGACGAAGACAGCATCCTTCCTCTCCTCTTCCCCGCATCTCCTCTGTGCTTCCGTTTCTCTCAGGCTTTCAGTGCAAGGAAGAACAGAGTCTGTCTGAAGAGAATTTGCCAGGCCGCCTCCTGATGTTTACTACAGCCAAGGCTTCGGCTCTGCATTTCCCATGAGTGTTTGGAGCAGCTCCAGGAAGCTGGGACTGGGGCAGCCTGGTTCACTGCACACTGTCAGGCTGGCCTTTCTTCCCTTCGGGCAGCGCTAGGCTAGAATTATTGTTTTATGGCTGGTGTACCTCTCCCATTATACTCAAACCAACAGCACAGACCCTGGAAACATACTTTTTACTTTTTAATATTAAAGTAGAGCACACAGAAAATGCACATTTATAAGACTGTAGTTTAGTGAATTGTTACTATATGTAAACAGACCTGTAGAAGACAAGAAATAGAACAGTTCCAAAACCCCAAAAGGCAGTTTCCCTGCTTCCTGAAGGAAACAACTTTCCTGACATCCATTAATGATTTTGCCTCCTTTAGGTTTCTTTTTCTTCTCCCTTTTCATTGCCCCCCCTTGACTCCTCCTCCTGTTCTTCATCGTGTGTGTGTGTGTGTGTGTGTGTGTGTGTGTGTGTGTACATGTGAGACTGTGGATTGAACTCAGGGCCTTCACACTGACCTACATCCCCAACCCCTCTTTTATCTTTTATTTTGAGTCCTGTTCTCTTGCCCAGGCTGGGCTTAATCTTATACTCTTCCTGCCTCAGTCTTTCCGGGTTGTTTTTAGATTTTAATCTTAAGACTTTTGTTTTTTTTTTAACTGGTGATTGAAACTAAGGCCTGGCACTGGCTAAGCAAGCGCTCTACCACTGAGAAACATCCTTCACTCTTGATTTTAAGACTTGTAAACATTTAAATATAATTTACACACAACGACATTTACCCTTTGAGTGTGCAATTCTGGGTTTGGTTTTGTGGTACAATAGATTGAACCCAAGGCATTCATACTGGCCAACATCCCTAGTGTTTATTATTTATTTGTTTAGGTTTTTTCTTTGAGATGGGGCTTGCTCTGGGACTGGCCTCGATCTCGCAGCGGTCCTCCTGCCTCAGCTTCTGGAGGGCTTGGGATTACAGTTCCACCTGTTTCAGCCTCCTGAGAAGTAGGATTACAGGCCTATACCACCACACCCACCTCTTATTTATTTTCAGACAGGATCTCACTAAATCACTAAATTGCCCAGCCTGGGTTCGAAACCGTGATCCTCTTGCTTCAGCCTCCCAGAGTACAAGCTTGCTGCCACCATGCCCAGTTCAGTCCTAAGTAAATCAAACAGTTGTGCAGCCATGATCTCAATCAAGACCCAGAGTCGTTCCAACACCACCCTTTCCCCCGGCCTCAGCTCTTGGAAGAAATCACTGACTTGTTTCCTTACAATTTTATCTATTCCTGGATTTTGCGTGGATGGACCGCGCCACCGTTCCTAGGCTCGGGCGCAGGCTCGGTGCCGCCCCGCCGTCACGTCACTTTCC